ACTTTTGTTTACCAGCCGGTGTATAATATGTGTACAACAGAGGTTTCCACACTATTTTTTACACACCAGTACACTCATTTTTATTACTGATCAGTCACACACCATGCACTTAATTTATGATTTCAATAAACCGTGCAAAATGTAATAATAAATCAATTTAATTATTTACGTTCGAGCGAGGAGTCCGGCGACTATAAACTACGGTTTATTTAGGTACTTTTTTACATGTTTTGGGATAATTTATACAAAAAATAAAATTATTTTAGATCTGCTACGATATAAGTTACCTTATACCTGTAAACCTTTATAAATAAAAAAAAAACAAATATATTTATTCCGTATCATGTGACCTTCCATGCGTATTTACTTCTAGCGACGAGCTGTGGAAAGTAGGAATCTCTGATATAAAGAGAATATATATTTCTAATAAAATATTGTTTATGTACCCATTCATCGGACAATGGATTGTACAATCTTTGCTCGGCCGAATTGCGTTTTCAATCGAATTGAATCAGGACTTGACAAACTATAAGGAAAATAGGAGTAGGTTCCTTCCTAAATGCTTAATTAGAAGAACACACTAGAAGTGTTGTACATTTTTAGAGAGCTCACTCTAAGTATTTTCATTACAATGATGGTGCATTACAACGCAAGTTCCATCATTCTTTAAACTAAATATTTTTTGAACATAGAATATTTTTGTAATTTTTATTTTATAAAATTGATGAAATCATTTAAATTAATTTCATAAGTTATGCTATTTTTTATTCAAGTTTAGAAGTCTAGTTTCTTTTATTATTACAATTCAAGAACTGCACATAGCACATGAGATAGGTAGATATCTTCATTCTCTTCAAGCGAGAGATAGTCTTTTAAGTAGTTGATTCAACACTGTTGCAGAGGGCTAAAATATTTTTAAAAAAATATTAATAATAACAACAAGCAGCATATAAAAGGTGATTTTAAAAGCATTCTGACCATATTTTTATGTTTAAATTATGCATAAATTAAAATTCTGATTTTTGGAATTTTTAAATATACTTCAAGATCATATATTTTTTAATTATTGAGACTTTTTGAACTACTTAATATTGATCCTGTAATTACTAAGCAGATATTTTTTGATAATTTTGATGCATCTTAATCAAAATTCAAGAGATGAGGTTTTTACTTATATTAAGGATAATATTATGTCCATGGTAATGGGTTAAGTAGATAGGGAGCTTGGATGATTTGAAAAAGTTATTAGTTACTAATTACTATTTATTTATCAATATTAATTATTTGTAAAAATGATTCAAATATAATAAATACAACGTCTAATATTACATATAGTTTTTATTTTTAGGGATTATTACCTTAAGTTTAACATTTTAATGACTCAGAAACTATGCATTAGAATTTTGATTTAGATCCAAAAACATTTTCAAAAAAATCATCTTCCAAAAATCAGAATTTTGATTAAATGTACTATTAAAGAAAAAAAAGGGGTGAGCATGGTTAAAAAATATATTTGGCCAGAACTTCTAACCACTTACTTGAAGTAACCTGAATTGGGAGATATATTGTTTGTAATTAAATTGATCAACCTAAATTTATTCATTTTATCACAAGTATGTCAATGTAAATATGTTGTCAGCCGCTATGTCATTTGCATTAAGAACAATGATACTACAGCAGCAAACCTAGCGACTGTCAGTTATTAGTATCTTCCAATTATTACAATAGGATGTATTTTCTGTATATTACATAATCAATGCATATAGTAAAATTTCATTGTAATGCAAGTTTAAAACAATATTTAATTGGCTATTGCTAAGGAAAGATTATAAAATTAATTACCAAACAAGTCAGTTTTAAACACATCTCAGACCCGTCCAAAACGCTTTCAAGTCAATGTTTGAATTTATTTATAATAAATTAAATGACAGTAAGAAACTAATGACTTTAATCATTTAGCTTTTAGTGTTTTGTGGAAAGTAACAACAATTTGATCGTTGATCATACACCAAAATTGAGTAACAATTTTAACTCATGTTTATTTGCCAATTTATATCAATGTAGTTCCTGTAAAAAGGAGTTTGAATGACAAGATACAACATCATAAATTTAAAATAATATTTACGATATGACAATAATGAGGGATGAAAATGTATTTAAATAACCCATGTAGTATAAAGAAAGTCTATTTAGACATAAACATCAATTTTCAAAACATAAAAAATATTCAGGAATACACCTAGTTATCCATACAATTTAGGAATTAATTATCCTTACTATCTTAATTTTATAAGTATATATATAACCATATATACTTAAATATAATATAGTATTAACTTTTCTTTAATAAAATATTAAAAAATTGCATTATTACATTCATAAATCCACAAAATAAAACTTTACATAACCAAAATTCAATTGCAACATAGTAATAATAATAATCATATAATATAAATTAAAAAATTACATCCATAAAAATAACTAGTAAATTCTTGTGGTATACAGTTCTACATTAAAAAATTATTCACATTTAATATGTAGTATATAAATAAATATATTTTAAACAATGTATATATAATAATATATCTGTATGTATAATATATACATTTGTGTATAATATATATGCGTAGATATACATACTTCAGGATAAATGTAATTTAGTTCATCAGAAATTATATATTTATATAATAATAAAACAAGATGCCGACTTGATAACATATTTTTCAAAAATAAAATTTAAATGTTACTTAAATATGTGAGTTACCATTCTTAAAATTTTCTTATTTTTCAAAACACTCAGAAAAAAATATTAACTGTTTATAAAATTGTAAAATTTACTCTCTTTCATATTAAAAATAGTTAATATTATTAGGTTTAAAAATATATTTTTAGTTAATTAATTTTTTGCATTTAAAATTTAAATTCATGAGAATTGAGAAATGTTTGAGTCATGTTTTGTTACTAGAAAAAATATAAATAAATAAATAAAAATATTTATTCTTTACGTTAAATTAAAATAATGTTTCAAAAAAGATAACACTGTTAATTCATTTAAATGAAAGACGTGCATTTATATCATTTTAAATTAAATTATTAAGAACTGTTACAAAAATAATGGAATAAAAAATTGCAAAAATTTTTTTCTCATTATCACAAACGAGATAATTTCATATAACCTTCACATTTAGTATCAACTTTCACATTATTTACATATAAAACAAGTGTATAAATAAAATCACTATCTCAACACACGTCCTCACGTCAACAATGCATATCTCCCTGCGTTAAGAGTACTTAATAAATAATAATTAATTAAAAATTAATAATAATAACTCAAATTGGTCAATGTACATTGTTGCTTAAAAATTTAAGAAATATAATTATACATTAAATAAATCTAAATTATTCTAAGGCTATTGTTGTGTAACATTACACATTAGACTTGACATTATACATAAAAAATATATATATATTTATATATATAATAATAATAAACCACATACAAACACCCCTATATTACATATATATTTTGCAATAACCTGAGTGTATTTCATAGGTAACTATAATATAATATTTTAATAATATTAATTGGCAAATAACACCCTACATATATATTTTTCAAAAATAACACCAAACGTGTATTAATTTATACTAATTTCAACATTAAACAACATTAACCAGATAACCTAGAAGAATTCAATTTCAGCATTTGGTGCTTACTGTTGAAAATATTTAAACTAATTGTAGTTAACTGTATTAATAAAATGGGCAATAATAATAATAATAATAATAATAATAATAATAATAATATTAATGTACACCTAGGAATAAAACTGAATGATACATGACTTCCTAAAAATCTAGGTTTTAAGACAGAAAAATTATTTGTAAATAATAACAAAAGGAACTTAAAAAAGAAAACTCGCAACAACAACAGTAAAAATAATAATATATAATAATAAAAATATAATAGTAAGCAAAATAACGACTTATTATTATTAAAAAAACGTGTTAAAAGATACTTGGTTAAAATTTATTTCACAAACAAAATTGTTTTTCATTTATGTTCAAATAAAATACAAAAAATGTTTTAAGTGTTTTAATTATTTAATAATTTAAAATGTTATTACATGAACAATCAAAATTGCTGAACACAATTAGGACTTAAAAACATAATTGCTTGCCACTGTAGTTTGATTGAGAAATAAGCATGTGGTAAAAATAATGAAATTGACCAAGTGATTGAATAATGGAATCCAGTATCTTTTACTAGGAGGAACAAGGAGAAGAAAACTAATTTAACAAGAAATAATATTTCACTTTTAACGAGGTTATTTAAAATCATAAGTTAGAGCCCGTTGTTTATATTTGTGTTATGAATGCTTTCACCCTAACTCAAAATGTTTATTTTCAGATGAATTTTAATAATATACTTTTTACAGACAACGATGTAGCATCTGAAAAAGACAATACCTATGAATTTAATAACCTTAGATTGTAACATTGTTATAAATGTCGAAAATTAAACCGTAGGAAGACCAAAGAAAATAATTAAATCAAAACAATAATGAAAGAGAAAGGGAAAGAGAAAAAGAAAAACATAATTAAAAATAATAATCAATAATAATTAATTTATAATCTATCAATAATATTAGTAGGAAGACATTTTGTTGATATGTAGTCACCGTATGAAACGTAATGACATTAAACTGATCATTGTAGTTGGTATTGTAAAAACGCACTAATGATCAAACATATCAATAAAAATTAACAAAACTATTGACAAATTAACAAAAAAAAAAAAAGGTGTTTATAATAATAATAAAAAAATAAATATATATTAAGTGTGCCGATAAAATTAAAATAATTGAGAATATTTGTTGAAATTTTTTCTAATTACTGTATATTATATTTTACGAATATGATGAATGTTATTTGATTAACACAAATAACAAGAGCACACATGAACATTGAAAACAAATCATGAACAAATGCCAACTACAACTGGACTCCATTGAAAATAATTGCTCTTAAATACTGATTTCCATCGAATATTAAAAAAAACATAAAAAGCAAGGTAAAATTGTTATCTAAACTACAATAAAAAAAAAACTAATTTACAACATTACATTGGCAAGTAAAACAAAACAATGATTAATAACTTATCCTTATTAATAAATAAAACAACATGTAACATTAAAGCCTATATTCTAAAAATATTATGTACACCTATTTAAGTAAAGTAGGTAGGTTTGTACATAGTTAAATTGTTAAAACGCCAAATTGTTTTTTACTGCTAAATTAAATAAGTAAATAAAAAACTAAATACATAATATGAAAAAAATAACAAAACAATTCACCCCAAAATGTTTCTCACTTTTACCTTACATAAGGTAAAAAAGAAGTATTTATTCCGAAAGCAATTTTTGCAGAAGAGAAGATGATTTTTGGTCTGTTACATTAGTGGTTGAATTTGCACTACTAGTTCTCGGAGAGTCATTGATTGGATTCTAAAAAATAAAAATAGAAATGATAATTTGTTCATAAAAAGCGTATATCTATAAACAAATCACTTTTATTTTTAATGATACAACATAATTTTTCTATTTCAACCTAAGATGTTCTTACTCTATGTTCTATGTTAATTTGAACTATTAACTACCAAAACTCAAATATTATTCTGTAAATTTAAGTTTAATATTTGCTTATCTTTGTAGTACACCAACAGAATAATTACCAATGAATAGTGAATAAAAAGGTTAAAGTTATTTTGAATACAAACATTTTATAACTGTTAAATACTGCCAATTACTTTAATTCATTGAGGTGTACATACTACTCGTATTTTAAATGTCACAACTACATAAACATAACCACATTCATGTCGCCACTACTATTAACTCACCCTTGCAGGCATTCCTTGGGGCTGAGGTGATGACGAACTTAAATCTGAATTTAAACTAGACCACTTGGGACTTTCATTACCACCTAGAATTTGCAGTAATATTAGTAATAAGTAATGACATAGGTATTTATAAATGTTATATTTCTTTTTTACCTGTAGGAGACATGTCAAAATTTAAACCCAACGAATCGAGTTCTGCAGGATTAACATTTTGTCCAGGTAATAATTGGTTAGATAATCGAGTAACTCCCTGTTGTTGACTACGAACACCTACAAATGCCCGTAGCTCATTTCTAGTAAATTCTGTGACACCATTATTCCCACCTGTATTATTATAAATATTAATCTCAATCGAAATATTAGACTATAATTTACATATTTGAAACATATTATATGTTTTCATTTTTACCCTGGATTTGTGAACTAGTAGTTGTCATATTTATATTCCTCGGTAACCGGAATTGTTGTTGCTGCTGTTGTTGTTGTTGTTGTTGTTGTTGTGGTTGACAATTGGCATTAGGTGGTACTTCGGTATTATAACCTACAGGACTCGTTAACACACGAGTGGCACTTCCGTGACTCTGTTGCTGTTGGTTAATAAAATTTTGTCTTACAGAACTGTTATTGAAACCACCAGTAATCTAAAATTAAAATAATTAATCATTTAAACTACTATAATATGTGCACACAAAAATAAATTAAAAATTATTTTATACCTGTAGTTGAGCGTTAAGCATAGGATTCTGTTGTTGGTGTAATGTCAATCTCTGTTGAGTCCACACCCCGGGTTGCTGTGTTTGACTAATATAAATATTTTGTGTTTGCTGTTGCTATAATAATAATAATAATAATAATAATAATAAATAAGTTGAATATTATTATACAAAGCATAAATTATTATAAAAATTTTAATTTAAAATAAGCATTTATTTACTTGGCTAACACAGGGGTTGATAGGATTTTGATATTGTGAATGTGATGATGGAGACATCCTTGATGTAGTTTGTTGAACAATTTGTTGCGCTTGTGTAGTGGTTTGAGTTTGTGTAGTAGTTCCATAGCTAGAAAAAAAATTATAACATTAAGTTATGGTTTTTTAAAATTACATATTTCAATTAATATTAATATTTTTTATTTATTATGTCATTGCTTTTAATGAATTTTTATTTTTAATATATGTAATAACAAACTAACACCTTGAAGGATTGAAACTAAACATACCTAACAATGACAGTAATATTAATAAACCATACTTTATCACTAATCATTTGAACAAAATATCAACTAATTTTTATTTTTTGATAAGGTACTATGCACATGTGGAACTTCCAATTTAAAATATCTAATAAAACGATGGCAAATTAAATATAAATATTTTGGCTTCAAAGAAATAACATACGTTAATTATTTAAGAAGTATTATTTGTATTAAAATAGATAAAATTAAGGTTGGAATTAAAATGGAAAGCTGTATTTTGTGTGACTGTGATTTTTTTTTTAAAGATTCTTTTTTTTTTTTATTATTGAAAATTTACAATCTGTATTTCAAAAACACAATAAGTAAATGTGATAATATGTACAACAAACAATATAATATAATGACAGAATGACAGGATAAGGGAGGCCATCCAATGATAGAACCCTTTAAAGATACAATAGAATTCTATTGCAAAACATCTATGATAATATACAGTAATCAGAGCCATTAAGATCGCGGTGAAACAACATTTACAAAGCAAATATTGGTGTTGCTTAACAATATTCATAGGATATCAGAAATTATGTTCAGTCATTTTCCATATGGTTAAAAAAATTTATAAATCCTAATACATCACAATATGGAGACAGTATCAAACTACAGATACGTTATCAAGTTTTTTCGATACATATTTAATTATTATTGGGTCTATATAGTGTTTCCCAAAGTGGGCAATATGCCGATATTGCTCCCTTGGAGGGTATTGGATTGTAAAAAGGGGGAAGGAAATAAAACTTTTTCAACAACATTATGTAGTAAAAATACATGTGTACTCAGTAGTTTTAGAATAATTGTTTATCATATGTCGAATCTTGTTGTTATCGCTATAACATTTATAATATTTTAGAGTAATCTATATTATTTGAATTTAGTAAACTCGCAAATGTCAACAGTCTTTGATGTTAATCAGTTTTATAATAATTGTCGTATTTTGTTCACAAAATTAGAAAACAAGGAGAGTTCACTGTACATTTTTTTACTGATTGCCAAATCCAGTAAATCTTATACTATTGGCAAAGAACTTATTTTACCAGCTATAAGTGAGGTAATACACGTGCTGCATAAGCAAATTTTGATATTATTAAGAATTTCTTTGAGCCATAACTCAGTGCAAAGATGAATTGATGAAATGGCTCAATATGCCAAAGAATTATTATGTTAGTATTTAAGTCACCAAATTTTCTATACAGTTTAATGAATAAACTTTACCGGGTAATGAAACCTTATTATTAGCTTACTTGCGAATCGTAAAAGAAGAAAAGATTTAATAAGAATTATTATTTGCAAAACATTTGGCAACTTACACTAAAGGAAAATTGATATCTCAAATCTTAGATCATACACACTGGATAGAGCTATGATTTAAAATCTTGAAGCATAGCTGTTTGTGCCCGAAGTCATCGCTGCGCATGAGCAAAGTATATGATCTAAGCATTCAGTACCTAATCATCCTTATCACTATAACACATTATTGTTCCTTCCCCGTCCCGTGCAATCAATTTCATTTCTCACGCATGCAAACATAATTTTCAAACCATCAATGCTTAACAGCATTCATAATGATGATTTTCTTCATGAAATGAGTGATTAACATAAATAAGTGTCTCTTTATTGTGTAAGAAAAGTTGTATAGAAACATAAAACATTTTAAGTTGAAATGAATGTAAATTTTAGGCTTCAATTTATGAAACGATATCAAAAAATATTGTTCTTGAACACTAGCAAATATGGTAGAGATTATAAAAGAAAAACTTGTATTCGTCAATTAAATTCAAGTAGTTTTTATAAAAGATAAATAATAACTTTTTAAAAGTTAAGATTATTTATATTACTCCACACCAGTACACTAGATATTACAAAGCATTATTACTCACTTTAACATAGGGAAAGACTGTTGTGTAAGAGTAGAATATGGGGGTTGTCGGTTAGATGAAGGTGAGATCTGAGACGAATTGAGCAACACACTGCAGGGAGCAGCATAAACTGGACTTAGTTGAGATTGTGAATCAGGTACACTTGAGGAACGCTGAAAAATACAGTATAATGTAAAATATATCCTTTAATATTAAGTGTTTTTATTACTTGTAATGCAACATTAGGTGGACCAGTATTATTTAACAATGAATCTATGGTTTGTAAAGCAGTGGTAGGGTCAGGGGTTGGTAAAGTTGCAGCATTTGTAGTAACAACCATTATTTTTTGTTGCTGTTGTTGTTGCAGAAGTCTTTGCTTCTGTTGTTGTTGCTGTATCAACCTTTGCTTTTGTTGCTGCTGCTGCTGCAATAGTAACTGCTGTTGTTGCTATTTTAAAAAGTAAACAGTAATTTATAAAAACCTTGAAACTTTTGAATATAATACATATGAACGTATGATTTAAAATTATTTAAAGTAATAATGATGTTATAATGGTACATTAGATTATTCATAAAACTAACCAAAGGCGGAGTTTGAACATTCTTAGGATATGGTGGCCTAGGTGATTGCTGTGGATTAAACCTAACAGCGTTTTTTTGTTGTGGTTGATATGCTGGAGGTGGAATAAATTGGTTTTGTGCATGGTGGTTGCTTCCAGTCGGGGAACCATAGTTTAACTAAAAATATAATATTCAGTTCTATAGTATAAAAAATATTAAATAATTAAATAAATAAAGTGTGTCAAAAATATTTACTGGTGAAGGCGATTTGACTGTAGATTCAACTTGCATTAAAGATTTTTGAATTGCATTAACAGCCATTTTTTCATTCATTAAAGAATTGTAAGAATTTTGGTTGGTAGTGTTTTGTCCAACAGGATTGGGAACGTTTGGTGTTTCTAAAACGTTGAATAAGTTTAACAATGTTGAATTATCTGCAATATTAATTAAAAATTATAGCATTTCAATAAATTTATGCACTTAAAAAATTTCTTACCGGCAGACACATTCATGATGTCCATGACTTCTTCTAAAAGTTCTGACAATTCTGGATCTGAATTAAATGGTAAGGAGTTACTATTTGACTCAGCTATATTACTCAATAAAGAACTGTAGCCACTGATAGCTGAGGAGGTAACTTGTCGCATTTGTTGTATTTGAATTTGGTTTTGACTTTGGAGAGCTTGTGGTTGATCCAGCATATGATTTAGGTATAAGTTATTCCCACCTAGTGAAAGAAAATGTATTAGTGTAACTAAAAAGAGTTGTTATTGAATGAATTAGTTATTTCACATATGAAAAGTAAGTTTGTGTAAGTTAACATACACAATCATGTATTGAATGTTTAATATGTTACTTTAATTTAATTAATAGCAATAATTATTATTACTTTTTTGCAGTAAAATCCTTTGGTGACTTTGAAGTTGGGTTTGCACACTTGATGAAGTCATTGAATGTTGTCCACTGTTCCAGCCACCAGCTAAGAAAAAAAATTAAGTTACTGCCTGTTATTACTAATTTATTTAAAAGGGTTAGTAAAAAATACAAACCAGATTGTTGCTGTTGCTGCTGTTGTTGCTGTTGCTGTTGCTTTATAATAGTAACTAATTTGTCTTGCGGTGTAGCTGATATAACAGAAGCGGGTATTGCTGGTATAGCAGTAGGAGGAGGATCTTTGGCTAACAACGAAGCAAGCATTTTATTTCGCTCACGTAATTTACTATTGGTAACTTGTGCCTGAGAGCCACTAGGGCTAGGCATAGATTCAAGAACTGAAGGGCCTGAACTTCCACCAGAACTATTAGTACGCTTCAATGGAGGATGATCATTTTCATCGTCAGCACTTATGCTATTACGTTTACGGCCATGGTTATGACTGTCAGGTGATGTAGGGGACAGAATACGAAAACCCATGCTATTCAATATTAAGTCCTCATTTGAGTGTTGATCGTTTTGCTACAAAAGCAAATAAAAAGTTAGTACAGTATTATGAATTACATTTCTAAAATTATACATTCAAATAAACATTTATTTTAGACTTTGGAAATAATATGAAAAATTAATCAAAAACGTGCACACACAAATTATTTTTTTGCAATAAATTACCTCAAGCATGATTCCATGCTGCCTAACATTATCATCATCTTTTAGTAATTGTTGCAGAAGATCATTTTGTTTTTTAAGCCCTGCTCGAGCTTCAACATCTTCATCCTCGCTTTTGTCATTTAATAACTGCAAGGTTTTATGAAAAATTTATTGTAGCCCAATATAACTGATTTCAGTTGATAAAATAAAAATAAAAATTCGAATATTTTGTAGAACTTATAGTAAATGTTTAAAAAAAATTATTTCCAAAATCATATATAAAAAAATAAAAAAGAGTTAAAAAGTTCCTAATTTTTAAGAAATATAGTAGTTATACACACCTTAAGCAACATATTGTTATTATTATTGCTGGTAGAAGCATTATTTGGAGTTGATGGGGCATCGTTCATGTTAGAATTGCTGCGAGATGCTTGCCTTACATTAGCAGGACTTGGTGGAGTGCTGTGATTAGTCGACTCATCATCTGCACTTTGGGAAGCCATATCATCTGGATTCAACAATCCTTTTAATATATTATGTTTGTTCTTTGATACATTGTTGTCTTCAGATGATCCATCAGTTCGTTTCATCAACAATGTTCGAAGCCGAGCTGATTCCATTCTATCCACACTACCACAAGAATCATAAGAGTCCTTAGGTGATGGTATGAGTGGACTGAAAGGAAATGAAGTGTACTGTGTCTGTGTCACAGGAGTGTGTGGATTGGACGACACTGTGGCTGGGCTAGGCACTGGTGTAGTTTTAGAAAGGGCTTCAACTGAGTTTGTAGATGGTTCAGACCACTTATTTTCTTGCAACATATCACCATATGTTGTGCTTGGAAATAATCCGAAATCGGAAAAATTGAGATCAGTTGACGGAGTCATGTTATAGTCATTGCCGAATTTAGATTCAGATTGCAAGACTGACACTGACTGATTAGATCCAATACTATTAGCCATTAATGATAAGGGATCTGTCCCATTTAATGAGGCATTCAGTGGATCTGCTGCTGCTGCTGCTGCTGCTGCTGCTGCTGCTGCACGAGCACTGTTGTTCTCGATCATAGCACACATTTCACTATCACTAAAAATATAAAAACAAAATACAATTGGGAACTAACAAGCGATTTAAGAAATTAATATTGTATAATATGTTGTACTTTTAAATACCAATATACAATTATTTTAAAATGCTTAATTAATCTAATTATTGAACATAAAAAATCAAATCATTAACAATTAAGATAATAAATAAATTATAGTATAATCTTTAAAAAGAACTTTGGGTTATAAGTTATAACTAATTGATATAAATATTATAGATGATTTGAGGTGTATTAATCAAATTTATATTTGTAAAAGCTACAAGTTAAAACGTAAATTTTTAACTTACACAATGATTGAATGTGCTGCCATTATAAAGTCCATTTCTTGACTATCATTACTTTTGAAATACTTAGACTTAGTTTGAACCTTTACATATCTATCTTCAACTAAGTGTAACTTATAAACTGGACTTGTACCAAAACCGGCTCGACGTGTTTCTTGTAGATGGTTGGCCACTTTTATTACATCATTCTTATGACATTTATCATGTAATAATCTACCCACTAAACAATCCTGTAAATAATATTTATAAATAGTATAACATTTTGAAAAATTTAATAATTAAAATGTATATTATAATTTAATGATTTTTGAAATTTTTATTTTACCTTATTTATATGTTGAGCATAAATATCAGATACATCTTTGGTATCCAAAGCCAAAATTTTCCCATTTTGATCAAGTTTAATAGTAAACTGCTCCAAAGGGGGACTCAAATGTTTTTCGTTAAATGGAACTCGTCGTGCTATGCATAACAAGTTTTGGCTAATGCCATCCGTACTATCTTCGTCATCGACCATACCACCATTAATTTTTGTAGACGATATCTAAGTAATCAAAATATAGTTGGAATAAAAGGTTTTAAAATTGTATAGAATAAATGGTAATGTATTACAATTACCTGTAATGTTTCGTACTGGCTAACCCTTGTCTGTTTTTCTTCAATAGTTTGGTCTTGATCAGATGGAGGTTTGATTAACAGCCGGCAATTAAATTTTTTAGTAAACCTCTGATTCCAATTGTTCCCTTTGGAACCAGAGGGCGATTGCTCCATAAGAGGAGTGGTTACGTTAGAGCCCAGAGAGCCGATTGATGAGTCGTAGATTAACAATGGGTTATTTAAAAGAACACCAAACTTGGTGTGATCACCGTGGTGAATAATATTATAAACACTCTTACCAAGTAATTCTTCTTTGTTATAATGTAGAAATTGTTGTATATTTTCGGTTACAAATTCTATTTGACCGTCTGCATTTACGACGAATAAAAATCCGTCTAACGCCTATAAAAATGTTTATTTTATTAATTATCTAATAAGTTAGACATTACAATTTAATTCATGTGTGACATACCGAAAGTAACAAAGGTGCCAACTCTGTATTTGATATTCTAGTTGGTTTTGACGAAGATACTTCGCCTTGTTGAACAGCGGCTTCTGTACTAATTAAACTTTCTGTTTGATCAGATGAAAGTCTATGAGTCTATGAGCAATAAAATCAAACAATGATTAAAAATAATTATTTTATAATTCGTTAAAAATTGTTAAATATTAAAAATGTCTTTATAATAATTGTTGTTATTAAAAGTAAATAAAATATACAGTCTAAATTATATTTGTAGGTTGAATATAGTATAATAAATATAACAAATATCATATGCTTATAAAAAGTTTACTGTCAAATATAATTGATTATTAACTACTAATGTTAACCGGGAGGATTACCACTATGATAAGATAAATCTATAGCTTTCATTATTGATATTATTGTCAAACAAAACCACTCTAAACTATAATAGTATTATCACTCAACTTTGGACTTATATGTAAAAAAAAAACATAAAATACACACTTCAACAATTCAAAATATGGCAAAAATATTAAAGTGAACATTTTGTAATTTGTTACTTAAATGAAGTATACATTAAATTGTAATGATATTGAATTATTTTTTATTTTTGCCTTATTGGTTTCCTATGAACAATTTTACTCAAAATATGAATTTGTAAATTAATTTGGTATTTAATTAAACAAATGCAAGGTTCTATAGGTATTCTTTAATGCAAAGAATTTATGAAATCATATATGATTTAAAATTTTCTTGTAGCTATGTATAAAAATGAATACTATTAGAGGATGGGTTTTTTACGTAGAATTTACTATAAAAGGGTTTTTCTTAAGCACATGATTTTAGCAGTATTTTCTGTAAAAACAAATCCATTTTTCAGACATGTAGAATATGTATCTTTTAACTTCAAGAAATGTGGATGAAAATTAAGGTTAAAAATAGACATTTTACTATTATATTACGTACTAAGTAAATAGCGATATGTTTCTTTAAAACATCATATTTTCTAAAACTCTTGAAGTATGAAAAATGTTTGGGAGATTATTTTTTTATATATAAATAATTATAATCTCAGGTAATATATGAAAAAAGTAAAAAGGATAAAATCAAAAAGAAGAAGATCGTCTTACCCCGGCACGCACCTGTTTCACAGTTTCCTGTAAAATGGCGCACTTATCAGGTTTTACAGACAAGGAATTCATTTCCGCCAAACTAGCTGAGATCAACTCGGCCAGCTCCTCGATGTATATGTTTTCCTGTTCTCGACGACGTTTTTCATTACGGCACTTGTTTCTGAAAATGAATGATTTAATATTTTAAAAGTTAACAATGTTAAGAGTTGCAGATTGAAGGGACGGCAATATTAGTTGCTGTCCATAAAGCGGCCAAATGTTGAGATACGATTTTTATAAGTAATATTAATTAATTCGCAAACTTGGCAACAGTTGTTAAGATTTTTTAGAAAGATCAATTATAGGTACAGAGTAAATACAGTATTCTTCTCGCATTTGATAAGTCACTTTTCAGGGCAGAATATTAACTTAGAGATTTCTATTTTAGGTATCATTTTTTTGGATTCTACAGAAAACTTCGAGACGCCAATTGTTTAATTGAGCATAAATATAAATACAAATAATACAATGATATTTAATGGAAATGTCGAGCTAATTATTATATGGCAATAGAAATTATAGAACATTATTACAAATAAATAACTCGTGAAATAATTATGTAAATTTAGAGCTAGAATTTCGATGAACTTTGCGCTATTCTCCAAAGCTTACTACACAATGCTTGTTGTATAACATAATATAATTACGTTTTATGTATTTTGAAATCTGAAGTATTTATTTTTTATGTTAAGACAATTTTAAATTTGAAGTTTTTTTCATTTTTTCACAGCAAATTAGGGTTTGTAGGACATTTATCACTAAAGTCCGTCTTTTTAAATTAAAATTAAAGATTTTTACATATAAAAGTAACTTTGTATCGAGTGAAAGATTTTTATGTGATCGAAATTTTTCAAACGGATCAGAACGTCATTAAAATAGAGATTATGAATGGCAACGGAAAATGAAATGAGAATAATTATTTTTTATTTAAATTTAATAAAAATTAGTTGATGGTTCAAGACATATTTAAAATAACAAAATCCTAAGTCTATTGTTTTGTAATTTTTAGGTCATTACATGCTCACACTTATACAGATTACATATTCGATAGATATGCCTTTAACTAATTATTAATACAAATTATTAAACTGTAAGACTTTAATTTCTAAATACTTCAAGGAAACTATAAAACAATATACCTATTACAGAAACTATAGGTACTTTTTATGATCAAATTTGGACCATTATAGAATTTAACATATTTCATCGAAAAAGATAATTTTATTAAAATTTACTTCTGCATTGAATCTTGAATAGTTATAACATATTTTCAATTTTATTCTTAAAATTATTAACCTATTCACAGTTAAAATGCAAATATGCTCAACGCTGTCATTGTATAAATAACATAAAGAGTATTTAAATCGATAGTATAATAAATAAATAAAATCTTCTAAAATTATTCTCATTCCCAAGTGCAATATGTGAATTATTTTTCTAGGGAAATAATTAACTTTAAGTCAGGTACTCTACTGTATGTCATATATTATATTTATTTATATAAAATGTATACAATTTTTTTTAATCTAAGAAAAAATAAATAGATAGTAAATAATTTGACCTTTTGGAAATAACTATATACTTTTCAGCAGGCGGGAAACCATTAAATCCAATCGTCAACAGGTTATTTAAAATTGTAATAAACGTATTATGATTTATTAATAAATTATTATAAAAAAGAATTGGATTAATTAAGTTTTCAATCAATACCAACAATGATACGAGACAATATTTAGTTAAAACAAATAATGTTGGCTTAATCATAAATGTAATAGGTATATAAATTGTAAAATAAGATTTACATTTTTAACGGCATTTTTATAGTACCATACTGGGTTAGGTTTTACATTTAAAATTAAATTGAAAAAAAATTTTGAGGGCGAGTCTTAACCCCCAAACCCTATCAAGTTAGAGTAATTGCATTAGTTAAAACCAATATAGAATTAAGTTGCAACTAATACCATTAGTCAAAATAAAATCATATATTATGTGGGTACGCACATTATTTTATTTCAACTAATAGTTAATACAATTATCATTATGACATTATATAATCTTTGCCGTCAGCTTAAAATGACAACGGCAGTTACCTCCCAGTTTTTATTATAGTAAGTAATATTGCATACATGGTTCATCTTCACATATAAATAAATATTAACAACATTTGACTATGTATGCACTAATATTAATGTAAATGGAAAACCAGCCTCAGATTGGACAATATTCTCATAAGAATTTGTTAGACGATAAAAATGAAATGCTCATAAAATTTGCAATATGGGAGTTGGATAATTTTTTATACAAGATAGTGAGAAATTGACTTATTTTCTTTACAATTTGAGAACGAATATGTATTTACTACTAAATTCAAGCCCCAGTAATTAATAGCAGCACACACCGTTATTCTATACTTGATATTGTTTTTGAAATAAATCATGCATTACCTACACCAAATTAACAACAGTGCAGTGCATAACAAATCGTTTTACTCGTATTCATAATAATATATTATGATTCCGAGTGTGTAATAAAATCACTTTTAAGTACTTTTTAACGACCGAGGTATACAATAACACGGTAATAATTGTCACGATACTTGAAGTTTAATGAGATTAATTATTCGAACGTAAATATTGTGCGGTGCCTAATTATTGTCGTACATTATTTTACGGCACGGCTCCTCCAGATTTTCGAGTACTTTTTGAGGAGTTGCAGTCGGTTGCTTTTGTCGACACAAATTACCTCGGAAAAATATAATAATGTTTAAAAACCGACCCTTCTCTCACTTCTCCGTTAATATCTGTCAACAATCAAAAGGGGGTTAGGTATATATTATATATATGTATATACGTATGTACTGAAGATATCTATACATAATATGTAAATTAATAATAATAATTGCTGTGCTATACATATGACAATGTTATATGCACACACATAATATTACAGAGTGTTAATTAACATATATTACGCTATAATAATAATGTATGAAATCGTAAAAGGTAAACCCACGCTCGTGTCTATAGTATGGATTCCGGCGTTAGAAGTAGTGCTGCTGCGAGGGCGGTAGGCGATGTGTATAAATAACTCAAAGGGGAGGGAATTAATTAGATCCTTTACAAACCGCAATGCACACACCCTGCAAACGACGACGACTAAATAATAAATATACATGATATTAATCAGAGAACCACGAATATAATATATGTATTGTACTTTATACACATAATATGTGTATTGTGTACAATATACATATACGTATAAAATATATATTATACACAACTCGGGTACACAGCATTCGAATCGGTTGTAACAGAAAATAGAAATTGTATTATGTTATAATATTATTATTATTTGGTCGTTGTTCCTTTGTGCTGCAGCATGTGCCGGTGTGTGCGCCGCCACCAAAGAGGGAAAACGCGTGTCCTTGACGATGGCAGCAGCGGCGGCAGAAAGCCACAGTATATAGACCTGCCGCCGACTCAGCTGCTAAAATAAGTTGTGTTACGCCAAAACGATAATTAAATCTCCCCGTCAAATTCACTAACTGGCGTACAAGGTGATTCGCTAAAGAACGATGAACACCCCCACCGCCATAACCACCAAACCGCCACAGCCACAGCCACTATACCTCCAGTGCCTGCCTTCTGGTAGTATTCTTCATTGTTACACATTTATATACATGTGTAATTTTTATTTTAAAGAAACGTTTATCAAATAATAATACTGCTGAAGAAAATCAAAAGAATAATCGAAACTTCAAATATTAATAATTATTATGTAGGAACACAATGAGCCCATGATATTGGTATTGTAATTATGCTTCTATAAAATGCAAAGTCTCGAAGATGTGGTAGTAGGTACGACAAATTGTAATAATTAATTAATGGTAGGTATAAGTTAAATGTTTTCTGTCTATGAATAATATATAAAATAATTTATCAAAATGTATCCACCATTTAACAACTATTATAGTTGACAATTTATAATTATTAGTGAACAATCACAGATAATGTAAATAAATATAAAGGTATTATGTAACTGGTCTATAATAAATTATGATCGAAGAAAAACGAATTGCTATGTCTATCGAACATTTCGAAATAGTCATATTTTTGGTTGGAAAATTGATTCAATGCATACATTTTGTTAATTCATCATTCGATAAGAATTTTTTTTAATTAATTAATTATACGTCTCCAATATAATCATAAAATATTAGGAATAAAAAACAAATATACTTTGTTGAAAATTTAAATAGGAGATTAATAGTGTATCTAGATATAACAATGTTCTATTATTACATTTTAATATGCCCTAAAATTAATCAATTTTCAATAACCGAATTTAAAATAAAAAAATAAGGCAAGATATTTGTATAGAACTATAATAAAAAGAAGTTTGATATTTTATTGTAAGGTTATCACAGTTTTAGAGGTCTTTGCACTACTCGTAATCAATATTTATGTCGTAAAATACTATTAGTTTTGTTGAATGTCAAAATGCATTAGAAAATTAATTAATAGTATATTTATTTAATATTACAAGTTATATTAAATACATCGAATGTACTTACAGAAAATATTTTTTTTTAGAATTTAAGAAGTTATCAAATTAATATAAAAAAAGTATGAAAAAAGTAGGCCAAGGAAATAATAAAATTATAAAAATGTATAATAGATGGATACAATTTTATAAGATTTATAAAATAAGACAATCCTGTTTTGTTTTATACTATTTGTATTTGTTTGTTAATAAGTTCATATTTAATATTATATACTCCAATATTCAATTAAACAATCTTGGGAGGAGTTAAAATATGTAATCATTTATGTAACGGCTAACATAAACAAAACCATGGTTGTTGGCTTGTTGCAAACACACAATACGTATATATATTATATATATCATATATTGTAGAGATTAGTCAACCACTAATATTAAGAATATTTTTGAGTAGGCATATAGACAATAAATAATATTATTACCTATCATAATAAACATATATTATTATACAAAAGGTCATTTCTAAAATTATGAATGCAATATAGTTATAGACTATAGCTAAAATATAATACACTTACATTTGAGATTGACCCTTGGCGTCGCTTTTTTTCTTTTTTTTGGGCAACGCAGAGCTTGGGCTTGCGCCGCCGCTCATCTTAGTCCTAGACTCTTGGAGATCATATGGACCCAGTCTGTAAAATAAACGAAATGATTAAATAAAACATAGCAAACTATTGAACTAACTAGCTACGTTATTTAAATTCCATTGTATAAACGATTCATTCTAAATACATAAATAGTTATAACTCATTCGAGCAATTCTCTTGATGTTTAAAAATAACTAGGTAAGTTATGCTTGCAATTAATTAATTTATTCGATCGACATTTTGAGTTTCCTCTCTTAATTGATTTAATTATTTCACGGACAAAATGTCATACTGTTTAAGGTATATTCTAAGACATTTATTTTGTAATTAATATGTACTACGTTTACATTATGTGTTTGAACAAGAACGCATTGGAATAGAAAAAGTTGCAAATGTCTGAATAATAAATAAACGGAAATATCATCAAACTTATTCAGATTTAATTGGTTTTTTTTATTGAATTTACTTAAGACAAAAGAGTAAAAATTTATTTAAACACGATGTAAGTAATTCAAATTGTTAATGTAACTACTTTGAAAATGTGAGTATGTATTTCAATTTAGAATATGTTGATTAATTACAATGTAGTTAATTAAATAATAAAAAATATAAATGACAAGACTCATCAGAACAAATTTTATTTAATTAATTAAATTACGATTAAGAGGTTAAATGATAAAGCGTTAGTAAATATTTCTCCGACATTAGGTACATTATAAAAGATGATTTCATAACATTTTAACGGTAATAAAGAAATTAATAAGTATTTTGCATGTATACACAATAATATGATTTGAACCAGAGTCATTATCTTTGACAAATTGAAAGTCATAATAAATTGGAGATATCTCGATGAAAAAAAAATTGTTAGTTAATTAATTACGCTTGCATTATTATAATATATTATAGTAATTGTTTTGGTAATATTAAATAATATAGTGTTATTATTACTTAGTACGTTGTGCAGGTTGTTAAACAAATAATTGGTATAAATTGAATATTTTAAGTAAAAAAGAGGAGCTTTTTTTGAGCTGATAGTTACAGATAGGTTAAAGGTTGACTCTAAATATAAAAATAATGGGATCATTCTGGATAATTTAATAACGGAATAATATCACGAGTAAAATTATGAGTGTTGAATTACAAAAAGGTAATATATTTAATGGCCCGGAGGTATCTATAGAAAATATACGTACTGAAATGGCGCAATGGCGCCTTTGGTGGACAATATCTGTGTGTCAATTTTGAATTGACAAAGAGATGGGTTATAAGTGAGTTATTCACGTTTATTTTATGATTTTTGATACAGGAGTAAATATATATTGTAACGAATGACATAGATCCCTTATAATACTGCTCATAATAATACGTGCACGATATCTCGCATTTCATTATTATTTATTATATTATTATATTGTAAAGTTATATTTATAAAGAGGATGTGATTTCTTACATGTGTCCCAACCACCCTGTTGATTTATTGACCTAGTTATATAAATTATATATACTGTAGACAGTTTTAAGATTGAAAGGGTTGTGTCCGTTGAAAAAGAATCAAATAATATTGACCCCCCAACTGTAACCAATAAAATAACAGGTTTAAATTGGTTGAAAAAATACACCAAGTCGTTGTATATATTTTGTAGGTTCATCATTAGTTTAGAACATTACGGTAAATTGTATGTGCCGTGTTTTGAATGCGTGTCGTGTGAAAATATAATTAATCAACAGCCAGTTGTAAAGAAGGTTAGGATTTAATTTTTTACACAATGTACTTGTATACGTATGTATATATATAAATTAAAAATAATAATTATGATAATACGGAGAAATACAATTATGGAGTCTTTTAAAACAAATTAAAAATAATAAACGCAAACCGTTGTCCGTTAACGACAACACGTGAGGGGGAAGTTTAAATGACTTTCATTTACGTCATAATATAAAATTATAATTTATACCCACTGGTGATATAATATTATATTTTATACGTGGGAAATTAGTATTCAATAGGGTTTTTTAGAGTAATCGATATTTTTTTTTTTGTGTTCAGTACAAAGGAACACTTGAGCAACTAGCCCATTCATTATTATTGTGTTTTTTTGTATGCCAGATTATTAAAAGAAAAAAAATCACAACAGAACTATATTATAGTAGAATAAATAAAAATTAAACCCTAATTTCACATAAATAACTCGCCATGTAAAAAGTTTTCTTTTGAGTCTATTCTTATTAGATTTGTACGAAAACAACACTTGCCAAGAATGAATGATTATAATACTTATGAATATCGTGAAATTTTATAGATTAAAAAAAAGAATTCCGGTTAAAAAGTGAATTTTCGTGGGTGTTTGTCTCCTATATCCTAAGCAAGAGTTTTGTACACCCACGACCGTGATTGACCTTGAACTAATTTAGAGACCATACTCAGACTATACATCGAGGTTGAGTCATATGGGATTTACACAGACGTGATAGTGTATGAATTTACTTTTTTTATTTGTTTTACTGGTAGTTTTTCTTCGTTAATAAATCCTTGTGATAAAACATACAATTAAATGAAAATTAAAACGCGACACGTAAATATTGGATTATGTATGTATGTTTTAAGATTTATTCAACACGGGTAATGTTTACTATTGCTATATCAAGCGTAAACACTACGTGATAAATAGGTAAAACCACTGCAAAATTACGACAAGAAAAATGATTCGTGCATATTGTACGATGATCATGAATTTGCATGGGTACTCTACTATTATTTAAGCGTTTTTTTTTTACAATCCAATAAATACATAATTAAACCTTTTTTAACATTTGGTCGAAGTTGAATAGACACTTTTGATCAGTATAAGATTTCCTTAGGTCTCTAGTAGTATACACTCAAAACTGACAAAAAAATTGAAAATAATTTTAAACAGTCACAATATAATCAAGGATGAATGTTGTAGGCATTGCTAGAGTTTATATAATATACTGCAGGGTCCCGTAACGATTAGTGATTTACCGAGATTTGAAGTAGTTGAGTGTATTGCATCAACCCACCATTCCCCACAACACTTGAAATTAGTAATCCACCACGGGACACCAGGGGCAAAACAATAAACCGGGAATGGCTAGAAGAAAATTAATATTCATTCGCCGGTTTTTTATCATAACAATCGTTCGTGAATGAATGGAAAAAAATATTCCGATTTGACAGAATTTTACTAATTTAGGAAGTTAACGAACTTTATTATTAGTAGAGTAGAGTGGTAGACTATATTTAACTTTAACATTAATATTACAACAAACCATAGGTATAGCATACAAATATAATTAAAAATAATAAACTTAAATAATAATTAAATACATCTGGAACCTTTTTGACGAGAGAGTGGATGGTAATAATAATATAATGTGTTATGGAGGACAAATAATATACGAATTGGAACGAACTTTATGGGGGGGCCTAGATATTGCAGAAAAAGATATAGATAAAGAAGGATTATGTGGTTTTTATCATCACCTTATCCAGGGCTTCAAAATAATTATTCCTGAAGTATGTGTATAAAAAAACCGACTTAAAAAATGAGCATTGTGGAATTAATTTAATATGAAACAATTAGTTAAATAACAGACGGCTAATTTTAAATGATAATATTTATTACAGCCATAAATAGTTTTGTCTATAGTAAACACTATAAATTTGATAAAATTACTTAATCAACACACGTGAATGCTGCATTCACAGTACAAGTTAAATTAAATACGTAGGTATCAAATAAAAAAAAAAATACTTTTATCGTTATATAGACTAGCAGACAGAACGGATAAATATTAAAATTGTATTATTATGAGATTTTCAAATAATCTCTAAAATTGTATATTATATCTACTTTCAGTAAAAAAATTTTTAAATACAAACTTAAGATATTTTTTCAGGGAATGCTATAATATAACTGTTCATTTATGTCGATTACATTGAGAGCTATTCAAGCATTTCTTGTACCGGTAAACATAGCCATAAAACGACAATACTATATTACAATTCATGTCACTAAACAAGTTCTATGTGTATCGTCTCAGACTAGTTTTCCTAGTTAAGAAAAAGAAATAAAGAAGAAAAATAAAACTTCTCATTATCAGTATAATTTACACTATAAATACTTGTGACATGATGTTACCTACTAATAATATTATTTAAACACAATCGGTCATTGACGTGGCTATTGGCTCTTCTTACCGAATAAATGTTTCTCAAATAGGTTCTGACTGTAGGGGATAATTTGTATTTAATTATCAATTAAATGTATCGGCATCATACATGAACTATTGTCCATAATCGAGATAAACTTCAGTGTCATACAAATTATAAAACTTTTAACGAACTTCTCATTGTACTTTAATTTTATATAATATAATAAATGTATCTATAATTCTACGGTGTATTCAGTATTGATCAATGGTACAGTGAGAATTGATTAGATTTTTAAATATATACTTTTAACTGCTATTTTTATTTTTGCAGTTAAATATAATTACTACAGATCAAGACCTCGAGTGCTCAGTTATGGTAGTATTAATTGTTTTATTTTAAATGCTCAGTAATTATAAAATAATATAGCGAGTGTAAATTAGAGTTGTTCAGTCACGATAAGAATATATATTATATAAAGTAAATCAATGACAATGAAGTTGAAAACTGATAAAGTACTATGAAAAAAGTGTATGCCATTTAAGAATCATTATCTAATGGAAATAAAATGTGAACTTTTGAACATTTCTATAGACGCAAAATTATTACTTTGCATCTCTGACATTTTTTAGAGGTCACGATAGGGTCTAACTTAAATGACTGGCAGTTTACGTCACTGCTGAAATATTAAAGAAAAATAAAAAAGTAAATCAGTTTTGTAGTCAGAATTAGGCTCTGGAATAAAAGAATATTCATCCAACACGTGTTTAAAAGAATTATATAAACATTTGATGTGGAGTGTAGAATAAGTAAAAAATTTAATAGATTCAGTTTTGACGTTTGAATAATTTTAATTAAAGCACTCACA